ATGGACTCGCACCACATCTATTTCACGAGACATGATTTTATCGGCAGTGTCGCAAAATAGATGTAACTTGTAATTCCACGGCTCAATTATAGACGTTGGTGGCGGTAGTGTACGGTGATTTTTACGGTGTCACGAAAAAGATCGGCGTGGCCGCTCTCAGGTTCCTCTTTGCTAGGAATAAGATCAATCGGGTGTAAACGCTCTTTAAATTCACTTCACTTTGAAGTGAATAGGGATTGAACGGCTGGGTGTAAACTAGCCTGTCACTGATTTGTTCTAGGGGAAAGCTTACGTAATCGATGCCCAATGCAACAGAATTTAGTGCACGAGTTCACTAAACTGGCTGCACTGCGTTTAGAGTCAGTGCAAGCAATGCAGGGCAAACGAAATTCAATCAGTAATTTTGAACACCATAAAATATTAATCAATAATAGCGTTTTCTTTGCTGCGCTACCGTCCACTAATGCAAGACTTAGACAGTATAGCGTGTTTCTATGACTGGTGGCGGATGAATTTATTCGATGTAATGTATTTCCGTAGCTGCGTAGTACAAGTTTTATGCACGCAGTATGATTTTGCTACACTGTTTCAAATGAAAAGTAAGTGTAACATTTAAATTTAAATTGTAAACATGGAAGTTAACCAGGAGCAAGATTTTAATTAGTATAATATAACCCAGAGAACATTATGACGTCTTAAAGACGTCTAAAAGACGTCTTAAATATTATAAGACATCTTATTAAATTATAAAAAAAAGACGTTTTTAAGACGTCTTAGTATCGGTCCTCAATAGGTGATTTAAGCTTTAAGAAGTAAGAAATTGATCAATTATAATCAAATATGAAAAGAATAATTGACTATGATTAATCAATTTCTTATGGTTTAAAGATTAAATACTTATTGTGGGCCGACACTTAGTGGCTTATGACTTCTTTTGGTAAAGTCTTAAAGATGTCTCTTATAAGTCGTCTTTTAGACGTCTTTTAGACATGCGTGCTGTCTGGGAATGAATTGTGGTTACGGTCCATGTACCATTACAAATGCTTCAAAGCGTTTGATTGTCCAATCAAAACAAAGAATTTTACTACTACTAAGAATTACTAATGCACCAATCAAAAAATGCTTCAAAGCATTTGTAGTAAGCTCTTGACTGCATTGATATATTATCCTGTATTGATATATTATCTTCATCGAATAAAGAAGACAATAAAAAAATTTATTATTAAATTAAAAAAATAAATTGAAATAATTAATTAAATAATTATTTTAATTAAATTATTATTAAATTTATTTATTTATTTATTTTATTTTATCGAATACAGATTCTATGCAATTTAAAACTGCCACAAATTAACTGACCTGGCCTGAAATAAACACGACAGCATGAAGTGTGTGCATGTACATACACCACATGAGTGTAGTGCAGCTCTCACATGCAACTGGTGCAAGGCTACACCAAGGCGTTCGAAGAGCACGCTATCGCAAAAGACACTAACGCTGACAGACTCGTTCGAGGAAACTGTAAGGAGCTTACGCTTTCGAGCTCCCTAAACGATACTTCAAGTAAATTATCGTTCCAATATTGCTATAAACTTACCATGAATTACCATAAAAAAAATAATATTAAAGCTTATCATGAAAGAATTAATAAAATCGTCTTCATCATCTAGTGATGAAGATTTGGATGTTCTTGATAATTTAGAAGTACATCGAAGAAAAATTCCAAGATTGGAAAATTATGTGAAAGGAGTGGTGTCTCGATGGAAAGATGCAGAATTTAAATCACATTTTAGGTTATAATGAATTATCTGGTTTTGATTTTTCTTCAAAGTTTTGTATATCATTGATACAAAGAAAATTTTGCACCGCTTGTTTATAACAAGACATTAGCTATTTCTTATCTAATATGCATAATATTTATTATCTAAGATATTTATATTAATTTTTGGTAGTATTTATTCAAATTTCGATTTGTTCATTATTTTCTTTATTCATTCTCTTTTTAACTTTTTTTCTTCTTAATACCTTTGATGCTACTTCTCTTCTTATACCTTTGATGCTATGATGAACATTTGAACAGAAAATATGCGCCAATCAGCGTTGTTAGCATTTGCTGCCCTACCTCGAAAAAGATAGCACGAAATAGCACCAATAATGACGTCACATTACTTTGACCATGATGTCATCACCAATTTCATAGTACCAAAAAGCATCTCCTCGAACAGTTTTAGACAATAATTGTAAATAGCGCACTCCCCGAACGCACCCCAAGCACGCTCTCAGTGCATCCCAAGGGAAAACGCTATAAGTATGAAAGTAGAAACTTTCTTAGAGTATAAATTTCAGTATTTCATTGATATTGTTTATATATTTTAATACATAGTACTTGAGATATACAAGTTAAAATTATCGACATTCACTGTTTAGAAAACAGTATTCATTAAATATTAAATTTGTAGAAAATTTATAGATTAGAAAGTCGGACATTAATGCATAACAATTAATAATATTATATATAAATATTACATCTGTTTTTAAATTTATATTTACTGTTTAATATTGTTACGTCCGTTTTCTTCGGGATGTTGACTGATATTTCCGTTTCATTCATTTTGTTGTTGCTGAGCACAAGTCGTGGCTGAGAACTAGTTGCGGGATCTTGTGCTGAAGATTCACAACGAGATTATAAGATCGCGCACAGACTCTAACTGTAAAAAAAATTTCGCCGACTATTTCAGAAGATGCCATCCTTCGGAAGGTGAAGGAAGTGAAGAGAAGAGAGTGATCTGCTCTAGATTGCGGTTTGTATAGGGTTTTGGAAGGGTGGAAAGAATCTAAGGGCATGATGGAGCTTTGTGTGTTAATTTTCGAATGATAGTTCGAAAAAATCGCGAATGCAGGGAAAAGAGGGGAGTGGCGTTCTGTGAATCGTGATTGTTTTTATGTTTCCGGTTTTCTCGGCGAATGATGGAATTAGTTTGTGAAAAGTTCATCCGTCGTTCCACATCTCTTATTACTCACTGGCACGTTCATCAACGGCTGCCGATCGTTTCTTCCTGATTGGCGTTTTCTTAGCCTTCCCTCCAGTGTCGGCCTTGGATGATCTCGATGCGTTTCTCACGCGCCAGGAATTTCAGTTTTGTTAATATTTCAAATTTTATTAGTATGCTATAAATCTTTCGACGCTGGCAAACTGTTCTCCACAAAAAATTGTTGTTTCCGGATGATAGGACGTGTCTTGAGAGGAATTCTGTGTATTTTTTCAGAATCTTGCGTTTCCGGTAATAAAAGAGAAAGGTTTTCTAGATCGTTCGAGGCATTTTCGTTTGCCGATTAGCAGTCATTATCTCTCTCCGAAAGAGAAAAAATTCGTGAAGTCCGCCGGACAATGTCTTATGTCTTAAATGCTTGAAATTTTTTTGAAGTTATTTTTTCTTATTATAAAGATTTTATATTATATTAAAATTTGATTTATGTTGTGTCGATTATATCGTCAACTCTCACAGCCATATTTTTTTGGCAATATTTGGATTTCGCCGAATTATCTATTCTCAGTGAATTGCACGCAAAACGAAGACGTTGCATGTATTCATATCCAATATCAGCTCAACAGAATAGATTTATTTTCTATATTCTTTTGTAATAATTTCTTTTTGTATTGTTCGGAATTAGACATATTCCATGATCGTTATTTTCAAATCTTTGTGATACCGAATTCCTGCAGGTTCTTGAAAAACATAATTCGAAACGTTTAATGATTAAGACGATAGACAAAAGACAAAAACAACAATAGCAAACAGATTCTCCTTCGAAACTATTTGTAAGAATTAAGATATTTGTTATTTAAAAATAATCTCGAAGGAGAAAAGTATAGGGAAGAGAATTGATACGGAATAACGGACGGGAGATTCGACTGATACACCGACGTGTATCAAAGTGTCATTTATTTGATAAATCGCATTTGATATATCGCATTATTCTTTCCGCCTCCATCTGGCATTCTATAGAAACGGCAAACAATAATGAAGAAATAGCAATTATAAAAAAGACAGCGCAGGAAACATCTTCGTAAATGAAAATGGATACATGTATCTTCGAAGACATTACGATTGCTCATCTAAATTTACTATTTATAGTCATAACTAAGTGATATTTAAATAGTAACAATGTGAAAATAAGAATTTTTCTTGAGATTAAAAGACTTTGATATTTATATTTCAATATATAGCATAAAAGTCATAATTTATTGAATAAGTAATTAATAAGTAATTAATAAGTAATTTTTAATAAATAATTCATCAGAAAACAAATTCTTCATTAGAAAACAAATCTAATATTTCCATACAGATAATATGGGACGCCATTTCTTTCTTGCACTAAATCGTTTTCTATTTCCTAGCTGCATTTTATACTCACCCAGTTCTGGCTTGCACTAGTTCAGTTCAGTTCAGTTCTAATACAGCTCTAATGCAGAAATAAAAACCAAACTCACTGCGTGCATAAAACTTGTATTATACCGCAGCCATGGAAACACATTACACTGAATAAGTTCGCCCACCACCAGTCATGGAAACTACGCTACACATCCGAATGTCATTAGTAGGCGTTAGTGCAGCCAAGGAAAAATGCTATAAGAAATAGTTGAATTCAATGATTTCTTTCCAAATTGCTTGAAATACATACTCTTTATTTTGCATGAATAATAATGAAAGTAATCTAAGAAATATAATTTATGTTCTTTCTTACTGATTTATTTGAGAAATATAAATATTATATACACACATAAAATAAATATAAGTTTAGATTTTTTCCAAGAATATTGATTGCATTGACATAATCACTATTGAGTATAAATACGAAAATGCGCATATTGATACAAAATATACATAATACAAAATTCAAATAAAATTGAGATAAAGATCGCTTTTTATTTTAACACTTTTATTGTGAGAAATATGATTTTCATGATTGATGTAAATCATTTCATTATAATAAGAATAGATAATATGAATAACATGTAGTAAATATTACCATCTCGCAATTTTGTTTGAAGTCTGACTATCATATAAAAGTAAAAAGTATGCGAATGCTAACGACGATTTATAAAATGTAAATATATTCTTTGATATAAATATATCATATTATATATTGTTATATATAATATATAAAGCATATATAATAATAATAAATTATTGTGTGTGTGTGTGTGTGTGTGTGTGTGTGTGTGTGTGTGTGTGTGTGTGTGTGTGTGTGTGTGTGTGTGTGTGTGTGTAGTA